AAAACCATCAGTGCATGCAATATCACTTACCGCTTCCCAAGGGCGGCATCACGCTTGGAGTGCACGCGACGGAAATTCACATACTGTCCCTGGTAGCACATGTCCAGATCCTGTCCAGTTTAGCCTCCTAAACGTTCCTATGAGAGCATTAGGCTAAACTGGACAGGAACTAGTACCGTGAGACGGATAAAAAGGGATTTTGTCCAGTTTACGGCGGGCCAATGAAAATGATGCTAGCGTTGACCAATAGAAATTCACCACTATGCGTGACAATCCGGTAGGTCCAGATACCGACATTGCCTACCATGGGTATCCGAATACGGACATCACACTACTACGCACTTAGCACCTAACGAATGTATGGACGGTTCGGACCTAAGGTTCACCCAGTACCTGTTGCCGTAGTTGCTGGACGTGGGAACCCACCTAGGCGGCGCTTCAAGCTGTTGGTCAGAAAAGGAAATGGAGCTTACCGCGCACCTGAGAACATCACAAGGCGAAAGAAAATGAAAACCGGGGTATAAGAATGCTTTATGTACATGAAGGTGTGTAGTACAAAAATCGTTAGTAGCAGAAAGCGGCATTGTCAAGATGGTTAATCCGCTTCCGCGATTGTCAACGTAGGAGGCTAAAGATGTTCATAAGGAAGCAGGGGACTCACCTCATTCGCACTGCATACTTTACTTTGCTCAACAGGCGGTCTCTTGTGCCGTGCAGAATGCAACCACGTTTTGATGTGGCGTGTAATGTCAGCATCCGAGGCTGCATCACCCATGCGTTGCCGAATGATGCCTTTGTAGTTTTTATGGATTACTGTATGTCAACCTACCTTGTACAAGGCCGTTCATATTTGTTCGCCTGAATGCAAACAAACCTCCTGCGCCGGAGTAATTTATCTCCGCGGCAACTGATCTTATCATTAGCCGCTCCATGGTACCCCGGACGACGATTTGCACGTTATCACCGTGCACAGCACACAAATGGTTGACCTGAAAGTCTTTTAATAATAAGACGAACTTACGACTCTGTTTTTGAAATCTGGGTCCTTCAGCCGTTCATCATATCTCTTAAGCTCACTGAGAGAGATGAATGGCAGACAAAGTCCCGGTGCAAGACTTTGGGACTGTCGTTGCAGCATCTGCAACATTGCTTCGGACATGCGGCGATGGCCGACCAGTTCTGATCGAATGAGGCATAACTCATCTAAAAATAAAGCTGAGTGCAATGCAATGCATCTGTGACGTCTTACATTTAATGGCCTTCAGTTCCTGCAGCACCTCCAGATTGCATGGTGCAACGTCAGCAATAACAGCGGGCGCGATTACTGTTTAATAGGGGCAGTATGAACGCGATACTTACGGTTGCTTGTTGATGGCCCTGGACGTGGTGGACTAATGCCACTGAAGAGAGAAGTGGGCGCACGTGCGTATGTTGCTGCAGCAGGCCTTTTGGGTTTGGTGGGACGCGCGGCATCTTCGTCATCGGAGCTAGAACGGACGGGCCGGCGTCTAAGGGGAAATAAAAAACACCATACTCACATTGGACGCCTAGCTGGAAGGCCCATCGGAATAGTATCGTCTGTGGATGGCAGCATGCCGCGCTCTGATTGACGTTCCATTTCTCGGGCATGCTGGAAGCTAACTTAGGAGGTGGGTTAATATAACAAAAAGACTTACTCGTGCTAACGATGATGGACACTGCAGTGCTGGCCACATCGACATCGGGTGCAGTGTGATTTTTCACAGCTGCATAGTAGTGCGTACCGCGCACGGAAGGTATTTGGGCGTACGCACCTTCTTCTCTAAGCCAGGTATTACTGACAATAGTTATTAAATCGTCGGAGTCAAGTAGTTTGACAACGCTGTATCCTTGAAAAGCCATCAGTGCTGAAAAAGAAAGACGTCAATAGTTAGAGTGTATAACTGTGTGGCATAGGGTAAATTACAAGGAAATCGTTCAAGGGAAAAGCGATGCACTTGAATAGAATATGACAGGCGGAAAAGCTACATACATCTGTTGACAATTGCGATGCACGGAAGATGTATGCCGTTGAGGAATCCATGCTATGCGTGAACAGACTACGAAGATTCATAAATTCCCGGCATTGCACGACCATGTTCCCAGACACATTCACAGACACATCTGTGAGCACTCTGGGTTTGGCATCGATGATGACGACGTTATCCGGCTTCACTGTGGAAAACAAAATGCCGTGCAAACGAAATGCTTTGTGACCCTTATATGTACACATCTCTACATTCCCACCCGTGCTTGCGTTGCTGAAAGTAGGAGGAAGCTGTTCCTCTTCCGACGTACGCCGCATGATTTGAGCAACCGGACGCGGGGAATTGTGAATCATGCGCTTGATGGAAAACAAGTGAGACTCAAAGGGAAATGCTGAGAAGCTGTCTAAAGTCCCCATCTTCTCTACGTCAGCGGGCAGATGAACCAGTGAGTGCACGTTCCACGCCATCTCACTGGGACCATAAAGATCAAAGTAATCATGTAAAAAACACGAATTAAAGGAATAAGGAAATCTAATAAGGCAGTGTGAAGGTGATGGTGGCACATAATATAAATAGCAAATGAGAGATCTAGAAAGTTATGATAGAAAGCCTCAGGCAATACCCCGATTAAACACGCTGGTCCGGCGTATAGCAAAAACTGACGCAACTCAGTTGCCTTCCAAGATCGGTATTCATCCAGTGATCGAAGCTTACATGGAAAGTCCGCTGTCCAAGAAGGTCCGAAGTCATGCAACCGTTCGTTAATTGATAACTTTTTCGACGCGGCATGCTGAAAATGAATGCATACGTATCAAACAAGCTATAACCGGAAAACCTGATAGGTGTGCCTGAGGAAACGCAGTTTCAAGGGAACTACACAATAGCGCAAAACCAAGCGGTATCAGCGACCAAGGTTACAAAACCGAAACTGTGCAAATAAAATGACCTACCAATGCATTTAAACCACTGGGGTTTTGGTCAAATAATATCACTCATAAGCATACCAACAATGTATTTATTAACAGATGTCAAACTAAATGCATTTAGCTGCAACTAATGCATTAATACCTTAACTGGACATCTGACCAGTTTATGTCCAGTTTGCTACATTTACTGATACTATTGTACTACCAGGGTACGGAAAACGCTCAGGCTGCGGAGTCACCAACGAATACTTGGGAAAGCTTCATGACAATGGGAGCCCCATTTTTATGCACCACATCTTCCTCTTCCTCAGCGCTTTTGTCAAGAGAATAAACCGTACGGCCAAACATGGGAGCTTCCTCTGTAGAGAAGAATCGATATTGTTTTGGCGCGCGTTGAAAGTTGAATCGTTGCTATAACGGCACTCCCGTTTGCCTTTCAGAGCGCCTTTCCTGCTCAATTACCGGAGGAGAACAAGAACACTACATTGGTTAACTAGGCTACGTGTTGTGTAATAGAACTTCGTTCTCAGCCCTTGGAGTTCTGCCGTGCTTGCGTGTTACAAAGTGGCGACCCTGCCAAGTCACAAGAATCAGGAATCCATCATCAGTAGTCTAATGAAGGTCATGCCAAAAATGAACAACAAGTCTGATGACGAAGGCCATTCTGATGTCGTTGACCCCACTACCAGACTTTCTGCTTCACTTGATGTTTTGTCCCGTGCTTTGGAAAAATTGTCAACAGGCTCGAGTTCGCCAGTCTGTATGCATGCAATCCCACCTCCGGAGCGTTACACTCCCGGGATGCCGTACTCCAGATGGGAGAAACAAGTCCAGCTTTACCTCCGGCAGTTCCCAGTCCACCAACATTCAGGCGTGCTCGCTGGCTTACTCTCAGGGGATGCTTTTGATGTCGTTGCTGATAGTAAAATTCTGGAAAGAGAAGTCACGTCTGAGACGTTCTCTGCCTTGCGCCGCCTACTGGACCCTCCTCCTTTACCTGCATCCCTACGCAGGGACTTCCACTCCCGATACCAGTGGCCCGGGGAAAGCATTGGGACGTACGTACGTGAACTTCGAAAGATGGTTGACATCGCATACGAGCGGGAGTCATCAATGGAGCGTGACAAAAGAATACTGGAGCAACTACTAGAAGGAATACAAACACCTTCCATTAAACGAGAATTCCTTCTTCACCCTCCCGAGCAGTTGGATGTAGCCGTACGAATTGGCGAACAACTTGAGCAGGTCGACAGAGCGATGACCACGCCGATTTCCGGGTGTTTCGCTTTGAGGGGAAATGGACGCCCCAGACGTGCGCCAACGGAACGGTTGACGTGGCATCCTGACTATCAGCAAAGATATTCTGGCTCATGGCGACCAACGCAACAGGGTTCTCGGTGGCCCCGCCGACCAATTCCGAATCGCGGTCTACCTAGCTACAATAACGGACGCCCAGGTGAGTGGCACCGATTGCATTCACACTTTATACCAGCCATTGTTTGTGCGTCGACCACAGATTCAGCATTAGCAATAGAATTACAGATCGCAGGGGTTCCATTGTTAGGTCTCATCGACACAGGTGCATGTAAGAGCCTAATCAGATCTAGTTTGACTAATCAGCTAGCAGAACGTGTATACGCGCCTTGTCGCTGCCGACTAACTGCCGCCAATGGAGAATTGTTGTCCGTTCGAGGATCCCTAACCGCACAAGTTGACGTCGCGAAACAGAGCTTCACCCAGGAGTTTATTGTTGCGGACATGGGGATGGATCTGTTACGTCGGTTGAAGTGTCGATTGGATCTGGACAGGTGCCAACTAATCACCGATAACTGTACAGTTTTGTTAAAACCCTATGGAAGTGGTGCTTTGGAAGCATCTACAACCTATGAGGACACCTTAGAGAGTGAGAAGTACATTGACGCCTTTATTCGCTCACTCGACAGAGTCACGGATGAGCAGACACTGAAGCGGCTCAAAGATGTGTTGCGCAACCACTCAGAGGCATTTGCATGGCGCAGTACCGACTTGGGTCGAACCAATGTCGTGAAACACCGTATCGACACCGGTGATGCAATCCCGATTAAAATCCCCCCAAGACGCAAACGGGGGGGGGGGGGGGGGGGGGGGGGGGGGGGGGGGGGGGGGGGGGGGGGGGGGGGGGGGGGGGGGGGGGGGGGGGGGGGGGGGGGGGGGGGGGGGGGGGGGGGGGGGGGGGGGGGGGGGGGGGGGGGGGGGGGGGGGGGGGGGGGGCGGGGGGGGGGGGGGGGGGGGGGGGGGGGGGGGGGGGGGGGGTGGGGGGGGGGGGGGGGGGGGGGGGGGGGGGGGGGGGGGGGGGGGGGGGGGGGGGGGGGGGGGGGGGGGGGGGGGGGTGGGGGGGGGGGGGGGGGGGGGGGGGGGGTGGGGGGGGGGGGGGGGGGGGGGTGGGGGGGGGGGGGGGTGGGGGTGTGGGGTGGGGGGGGGGGGGGGGGGGGGGGGGGGGGGGGGGGGGGGGGGGGGGGGGGGGGGGGGGGGGGGGGGGGGGGGGGGGGGGGGGGGGGGGGGGGGGGGGGGGGGGGGGGGGGGGGGGGGGGGGGGGGGGGGGTGGGGGGGGGGGGGGGGGGGGGGGGGGGGGGGGGGGGGGGCCCATTACATTAGCAGACTGAATTGCAAAAGCTCATAGATGACATGATAGGAAAGAAGGTAATACGGCCCTCGACTTCACCATGGGCAGCACCGGTTGTTCTGGTGAAGAAGAAGGATGGTGGTATTTGCCTATGTGTCGACTATAGACGATTAAATGAGATTACTCGAAAAGACGATTTTTCCCTCCTCAGGATCGATGATCTATTTGACGCACTGGGAGGATCAGTTTATTTCAGTACGTTAGATATGGCTTCCGGCTACTGGCAAGTAGAAGTGGAGGAGAGCGACAGAGCGAAAACGGCGTTTGTAGTACCAGCAGGATTTAGGAGCTCCAGACCATGCCTTTTGGCCTCTCTGACGCCCCTGCGACTTTTCAACGACTGATGCAAAAAGTGTTACCCGAATTGATGCCATACAAGTGTCTCGTTTACCTGGACGATGTCATTGTACACGGAAAAACAAAAGACGAGCACCTAAACAACTTGGCGGAGGTGCTAACACGCCTAGTAAATGTGGGCCTCAAACTCCAGCCCACATAGTGCCATTTACTACAGACCGAGGTAACGTATCTTGGGCACGTCATTTCGGGGATGGGGATTCGTACCGACCCTCGTAAGACGGAGCAAGTGAGATTATGGCCAACCTTTGCCAACGTTGATGAACTACGCAGTTTTTTAGGGTTAGCCTCATACTATCGGCGATTCGTGAAAGGGTTCTCAGAGATCGCTGCGCCTTTGAATACCTTGTTACAGAAAGGTAAGACCTTCGAATGGACCGTTGAGTGTCGAAATTCATTCGATCGGTTGCGAGAATCCCTTTGTGCAGCTCCGGTGTTGGTTTTCCCCGATCTGTCACCAAATGCCGGGGAGTTTATTCTAGACACGGACGCGAGCGACCAGGCGATTGGAGCTGTTTTGTCACAGAAAGGGCAGGACGGAATAGAACGAGTGGTGTCGTACAGCAGTAGAAGTCTCAGTGCAAGAGAACGGAATTACTGCACAACCAGAAAGGAAATGCTAGCCCTAGTATTCTTTATAAAACAAAACCGACACTACCTATTAGGAAGGAAGTTTCTGGTACGAACAGATCATCAGTCACTTCGTTGGTTACAGAATTTCAGAGACCCCGAGGGACAGATCGCCAGATGGCAGGAACAACTTCAGGAGTATGATTTTGAGTGCAGACACCGACCTGGTGCACAGCATGCCAACGCGGACGCTCTTTCCAGACTTCCTACTCGTGCTCATGGAGACTGCCCGTCTTGTAGTACACAACACGTAGCTCTAGTTAACCTTCAAAGTTCGGAGTACGGTCGCTGGCAGGAGGCACAGGCAGCAGATCCAGACGTATCACCGATCTATGACAAACGGCTGTTGGGGAGCGACAAACCTACCGCGAAGGAAATGGAGGGAAAAAGTTACGAAGCTCGATGCTTATGGGCGATGTGGGACAAGCTCTCTATCGAGGAAGGTGTGCTAGTGTTTGATTTTGGCCCAAACTATATCAGGAGAATCGTAGTTCCGCGATCATTAGTTTCCGAAGTGCTATCTAAACTGCACGAACAGCTGGGTCATGCTGGAATCAACAAACTGGAAGCGGCAGCACGTCAACGTTTTTGGTGGCCACACCAACGGAGAGACGTCACTAACTTTTGCCAGACGTGTGAGACATGCGCCACATTCAAGAACCCGACCATCACCAGGAGAGCACCATTGCAGCCTATGAATGCAGGCTACCCGAACGAGATTGTGGGAGTAGATCTTGTTGGTCCCCTACCAGAAACATCACGTGGCCATCGGTACATCTTGGTCATGGTCGACTATTTCACCAAGTGGTGCGAAGCAGTTCCGATCGCCCAAGCCGATACAGTCACCGTAGCAACGGCGGTGGTAAATCACTGGGTGTGTCACTGGGGAGCACCGGGGCAGCTACATTCTGATAGGGGCTCATGTTTCGAGAGTTTGCTGGTTCAGGAACTTTGTCGTGTGTTCGGTATAGACAAGACGCGAACGACTGCTTACCACCCGCAAGGCAACGGACAAGTTGAGCGTACAAACCGGTCGCTGAAATCCCTACTGAAGGCCTTTGTGGAGCAAAATGTAAGTGAGTGGGACGCTATGTTACCAAAATGCTTGCTGGCATATCGAAGCACAGTGCACGCTTCGACTGGTCAAACACCATCTTTTATGTGGACCGGAAGAGAAGTCCGATTACCGTCTGACATCCGATTACCCAGTCCGCAACAGCCACATTCATCGGTGACAGAGTATGTTAGCAAACTCCTTGATTCGCTTCATCAAACACATCAAGCGGCACGTATTCACCTTGGGAACGCCCATCGACGACAGAAAGACTATTACGACAAGAAAGTTTTCGGCGCTCCTTTAAAGGCTGGCGACCAAGTTTACTTGCACCAGGTACCAACGGCAGGAGTTCCGGTTAAGCTACACCATGAGTGGACTGGACCGTACATAATACAGCGGGTGATATCGGATGTGACATGTGTTATCAAAGATCCCAACAACCCTGCCAGTCAACCCATGACAGTACATTTCAATCGACTCAAGCCATTCCGGAGTAAAACTGACCAATCTGTCGAGGGGCCGAACGAAACGCCTGGGGAAGTAGCAGTTGAACTGGAGGTGCCGCCTCAGGGCGGCTATGGGGTGGCAACGGGGACGTTGCCTGCTTAGAGGGGGTGTGGTGTAGAGAAGAATCGATATTGTTTTGGCGCGCGTTCAAAGTTGAATCGTTGCTATAACGGCACTCTCTCCCGTTTGCCTTTCAGAGCGCCTTTCCTGCTCCATTACCGGAGGAGAACAAGAACACGACATTGGTTAACTAGGCTACGTGTTGTGTAATAGAACTTCGTTCTCAGCCCTTGGAGTTCTTCCGTGCTTGCGTGTTACACATCCAGCATGGCGTAGGTGTACCAAATGAACCTCGTGGTCTGGTTGACATTTCAAACAATGCGCAATAAGGGTGAAATGCATGCATATGGTTTTCAAGTACACTTGATTTCTTTTAAAGTCAGCATTCCATATAGAAGTATTTCATCTTTATTCAGGAGATGACCATAATTTTGATTGGCGTACCCAAAGGCAATGCCCCCGCAGGGCTACTTTTCCTTACATAAATTAGCCACTCCCTATGTTTTTGTTCATAGCAGAGCACTGTGTTGATATATATATATATATATATATGTAATACACAATACGTGGCACGGGTATTGTGCCATCGGAATTATAGCTGAATAGGAAAACAGTAGACAGCGGTCACGCCGTCAACATGCCTTTCGTTAGTTTCTCGAAGTCCTTTATTACTGTCCCACGTCAGCCACTCACATTAAAGTTGAGATCGCATGAGATATCTGGAGCCGCCTTTAAATTTGTGTCTGCTTTTCTACAGAGGAGAACAATGTGGACGAATGGGACGTAACATTTAGCTTAGACAAGCTGATGACGTCATCAGCATGGTCTTCGCTGCTGCTATATGCAGATGACGCGAAGCTTTGGCGCACAATTAACGTTGCGGACGGTGCCCACGCACTACATCAGTGGTCAATAGAACATAACCCAGTTAACGCTTCGAAATGTCGCGTCCTTCCTACCCGCCCTTCCGCTTTTTCCTATTGATTTCCTGCTAGCTTCTGTTCTCCAGACCTCTTCAACCGAAAGAGACTTGGGTATCATCTAAAAAGAGCACTAGGACTGACAGTGGCATCCCTACCTTATGTTCCTCTGCACATCGAAATTTATTTTACGAAGACGCTGATAAAGCCAGTCTTTTGGCCCAACAATACGCCTGTCTGCGAATGAAACTCCCGCCTGCGGCAACACTGTGTCCAGTTTTCCTTTTCTGTTGGATCAAGTAGATATTAACATCAATTATGTGGTTAAACTCCTTGATTTAGATCCGCATTTTTCACTGCCAGGATGGGTTGCACCCCTGTTCATTAGGACTGTGGCGCAGTACATCGCCCCACCTATGTCAGGTTTTCCGTCGTTCTTTTGAAGCTGGGCGTCTTCCGTCGGCTTGGAAAGTGGGCATTGTCAAACCCATATACAAAGGAGGGAACAGGTATGATCCAGCCAGCTATCGTCCTATCTGCTTAACCTCGATATTGTGTAAGGTTATGGAGCCGGCCGGTGGCCGAGTGGTTGGCACGTTTGCTTTCCAACCATAAGGTCACCGGTTCGAATCCGCGTAGGGGTGGGCGTCCTCGCGGTATACTCAGCCCGCGCGTGACTGGTGGTGGTCGCGCGGCAGCGAAGCGCCGTTACGGCGTATAAGCTGACACATTTCATTTTTTTCATTTTTCAAGGTTATGGAGCGGATCTTGAAGCAGGCTCTCTATCTCTACCTCGAGGAACCGAATTTCTTCTCTTGTTCACAGCATGGTTTTCGAAGGGCACGCTCATGTACCTCGAACTTACTCGTTTCTAAGGAGAAACGGGCGAAATCGCTTGATTCCCGTAAACGCCTGGACGTTGTGTTTGTGGATTTCAGCAGAGCTTTCGATAACGTCCTACGCGAACGACTTTTGCTTAAACTCCGAGGAGTCGGTATCGTCGGGGATCTTCTCTCTTGGATCTCTGATTTCCTTCGCGACCGCACGACGCAGGTGCAAGTAAATGAAACATTTTTCGCCCATGTTCTCATTACGAGTGGAGTCCCACAGGGTTCTGTTCTCTGCCCCGTGCTCTAGGCGGATTACCTAATCTACGCCGACGACCTGAAGCTGTGAATGGAGGTACCCAGTATGGAAGATGCTGACAAGTTACAATCGACACGACTTGCTACATGATCAATTAAGTGGCAGTGGCCAGCGAATCGTGAGAAATGTTCGGTTCTTCCAGTTGGTGCGTCCGACCCATTTGGAATCTAGGATATTGCTGGTTCCTTGCTCAGAAACACCACTTAGGAGAGGGATCTGGGGGTAATACTTTCGCCTGACCTCAAATCTAATGAAGATACCAAGAAAAGGTCGCTGCGGCCTACAGGGTGTTTCACTCTATACGTAGAGCCTTCTCTCGC